CAGGCAGTGGTGGTGCACACCTTTAATCTCAGCACTTGAGAGGCAGAGACAGGCAGATTTCTGAGTTCGAGGCCAGCCTGGTCTACAGAGTGAGTTCTAGGGCAGCCAGGGCTATACAGAGGAACCCTGTCTCAAAAAACCAAAAAAAAAAAAAAAAAAAAAAAAAAAAGGATACAAATACTACAATACTAACACAGCTCAGATGCAGAAGAAACATACTAAGTAACGCTGCTGAGAGAAAGAAACAAACTTACACCAAAAATAAAGCAAAGCAAGCAAACATTAACAAACAAACAGGAAACCAGGGATACAAGCCAGCAAAACACCTTAAAGCACAAGGCTCAGGACCCCAGGCAGGTCAGTGAACCAGGGCAGGCAAAGCTCTGAGTAATGGCTCTTTCTTCTGCTCAGCAACAGCAGCCCTCAGTCACACAGACAGGCAGACACAGTGAGAAGGTGCTGCAGCCTGAGGGACAAACTGCAGGAGGGAGTCCACAGCCACCTGTGAGCAGCACACATTCCATTGCAACTATGACAGCACACAGGGATGCCTCATATTATCACAATTTCTGTAAATCTGAAGCTACTCCAAAACTAAATAATAGTTTAAGAATTGGGGGTGGGGGGCTCGTCAAAGTAAAGATACTTTTATCCTGCTAAAATCATAGGCTATCTGAAAGTACTCAATTAACCAACAAGATAAACAATGACTGCCTGGAGATGAACCATTAACATTTCAAACTGTTAATTTTTCGTGTCTAAACTTCTCATAATAAAATGCTTTTTAAAAAGAAATTATGAGCCAATAATTGTTCTCTTAATATCACACCCACTACTTGTATTAAGATGGGCTCTTATGGATTTTGGATTCTTGGGGTTGTGTCAGGAATACCATGGCTAAAATTAGTTCCTGGGGGAGACGTAAGCAATATCTATCCCTTCCTCCTAAGGTCCCAGACAACCAAAGCATGAGTCCACCAACACTCACTCTTGGGAGCCGGTGAGTCCGCTAGGGTTCCTTACAGAGCACAGCTGAGGTTTCTAAGTGTGATAATAGCTCTCCCATTGCTGCAGAGATGGAGTCCCCTCCCTGACAACAGTTTGTAGCAACCTGAAACTCAGGTGACAGTCTCCTGAGCGTCCCTACCCCTGTATGATAGGATGTAATAGTCAGTAAGTCCTGATGGAATGACCATTTCAGCACAGCTGAACTCCTTGACTCGGAGGGTAGGTGTATACAACATACATACAATCTGGCCGTTAGCTAACTCCTGTCCACAGATTCTAGTCCATCTTATGATTGTATCAACTATGTCTTCCTCACTACTAATCTTTCCACAGAAAGTCATGCAGGTTTCAATGTACCTTTACAACTGTGTACTTGAACAGCAGAATACTCAGATGTGTGTGGAAGAGTGGGCACAGTGCAGTAGAAAGGACTGTGCTGTGATGACCTCAGTCTCCTAAGTTCCAGGGATCCTCCAGCCAAGGGCTAAGAAAACACACAGCATCTGTAAAAGCAATGTGGCACTCCCAGGGACTTTTGCAATACCTGGGAAGAGTTTTTGGTTGTCACATTACAGTTGGCAAAGACCAGAGATACTGTGTATCCCTCCCTGTAAGGCACATGTCAGTCCTCAACAAGTTATCCCTTTCTAGTTGGTGATGCTAAAACTCTAAACGGCATTTTTCCAACTAAGAGATTGAACTGACTAGCTGAATGAACAAGTACAATCCTCAAGATTATATACTTGATGATTCCCTTTATATAACACTCTTGATATGATGAAACTGTGCAGATGAAAGAACGATTCGTGATTGCCAGAGGTTAGGGATACAGGGATCGGAGAATTCTTAAAGAGGCAAAGTGAGTATGGAATCACTGTGGCAACAATACTGTAGCCACAGATCAGTCTTAACTACATCAACACCAATACTGTAGCTACAATGTTATGCTACAGTTTTACATAATAACACTGAGAACACAGTAAAGCATATATAGCCCCTCTCATATGTCTTATAATTGCACGTGAGTCTACAATTACTATAAAACAAAACGCTTAATTTTAAAAAATTGCATGAACACTTAGTTCCTAAAATGCAAGCATTTAAAAAGGCCCGTCTATCTTCTCAGTAAGGAACTGCTAATGATTTCTGCATTGCCCTAAGAATTCTTGAACGTAACTGTGTGTGCACACGTGTGCATACGGGGACTCATTCTCCTGGCTCCCCTTCTCAGAAGACCCCTGACTAACACAACAGCCTTTTAAAATATCATGAGTAGGTTCAGGGATTTGGTAAAATGAAGCAGATTACCCAAACATTTTTATTTTAGACTTATTTTTATTTTGTGTGTATTATACATACATACATACATACACACACACACACATGTGGGCAGGTTCTGCAGCGTCCAAAGGTATGTGACCCACAGGCAGTTTCAAGTCACCAACATGGGTACTGGGAATTAGACTGGGTTTCTCTGCAAGAACACTACTTCCTCTTAACCACTGAGCCATGTTTCTAGCCTTACCTGAAAGACTTACAGGTCAATGAATTCTAAGGGCTTTAAGGCTAGAGGAAATTTAATTGTAAGAAAACAGGCTGGGGCTCTGCCACTGGGAATAAACTTGTCGGAATACACAGAAATAATGAACTGGACATAGTAGTTCACATTTACAGCCCAGCACTTGGGAAGCTTCGGCAGGAAGACTGACAACAGTTCAGGCCAGCCTGGGCTACAAAGTGAGACCTTATTGGGAGGTGGGATGAAAATCGCTAGCTAGTGTCTTTAAGCAATTCCACTACCTAGCTTAGGAAGGAAGTCCTGACAGCTGTGTACAAAACAGTCTGGGATAGAGGGAGAAAATGTTTAGAATCAAGGATCAGTGACAACAATCACAAGGAGAAGTCATCTTGGCTTGACCTTGGGCTGTGAAAGGGAAAGGAAGAGCATAGACCGACTATCTATACTGGTCAGCATGAAGGGCATCACCTAAGGAAGAAGAGGCTATAGCACCAAACTTTCAAGTCTTGATGACCCAGAACAAGGGTCAGGGGTGAGCTGTTACATTCAAGATAGAGAGATGACTTCACATCAGAATCCAGGCTTCACGTAGAAACTTAAAAGACACATGGGAAACACAGATGAAATTGAACCTGGGTGCAGAGCAGGCTTAAGTAACAAAGGTAGAGCAAGTGCTGGGAGTGGATACTGAACCCTGGGACACTGTGAACACTGAAGAACCCAGGAAAAGACCTCAGAAGGGTTTCAAGGAACATCCAGAAGATGGCCAATAGGAAAGGCCACAAAGGTTACTGAGGACCAAGCCAGATGAGTGTTTAGATGTAGCTGTCAGATTCAGCAGTCAGTACAGAGCCTTTCCAAATACCAGCTAGCAATTCAAACCTTACATATACAACCAGGATGAAAGCAGAGGGACTATTTGCAAGGATTCTCTAGAGTAACAGAACTTATAGAATGAATTTCTCCATACATAGACAGGGTGGGGGGATTTATTAGAGTAGTCCAGTTAGTCCAACAATGGCTGTCTACCGATGGAAAGTCCAAGAATCTAGTAGTTGCTCAGTCCACAAAGCTCAAAGTCTCAGCTGGTCTTCAGTATACACTGGAATACTGAACTAATAGGCTCTAACGCCAATGAAGGAATAGATTTTGTAGTGTGGGTGAGAGCAAGCAGGCAGAGAGGGCTTCCTTATTCCATGTCCTTCATAAAGGCTGCCAGCAGAAGGTGCCAGGTTAAAAGTGGGTCTTCCCACCCCAAAGATACAGACTAGAAACGGCTCTCCCCACTTCAAATGATTTAATTAAGCAAAAATCTCTCACAGCTGTGCCCAGCCATTTTGGGGTTTCAGTTAATTCCAGATGTTGTCAAGCTGACAACCAAGAATAGCCATCACAGAGACTCAGACAGACATAGAGATAGATGAAAGGGAAGACCATGGAGCCACTTAAAATGAAGTGTCTAAACCAGGTAAATTCATAGAGACTGCAGAAGCAGACGGAGCAGGGTCCCTGCCCTATGTGTACAGTGTCTGTCCTGAGTGACAGTTTTGGAAACATGTATGTCTGCTGACTGTAAGACAACATTGTGAATGTACCTGATGCCATTCAATTAAAATAACATAATAAACTTCATGCTATGTATACTTTTTAAGAAAGACAGTAATATAAAACTGTGAAGAAAAACTGGCAAGCAGCAGCACAGAAATGTCCGAGATAAAACTGCAGGGCCATCACATGAGACACAGAAGACTGTGTGCTGACATTTCAGTTGCAGAACTCTGTGGCAGGCGCACTCTGAGGTTAAGAAAGGCTTACTTCCTATTTTTTTCTTAAAGCAGTATTTCAAATTAAAGAAGTAGTAAGTTCGAGGTAACTCTATTTTGTTGGGCGCACCGACTGGAAAGCGTCTCCAAGGATCTCATTTTATGTTTGAAGATAAGCAACCAACCAACATGACCATGGATGGCTCTCATAAAGTAAAAGGACTAGATCAACTCTTTGATGGGAAAATGAAGCTAATCCATAGTAACCATGCTAATATTCGCCAAAGGGAAAGATCTAACAGATAGGTGGTCTATTTTTATATTTAATGCACCAGTTTGGAGTGAACGGAAACCATACATGGTAATTTCTTTAGCAAGCATATTGCAAAGAAAAAAAAGAAACATGCATCCTTTCTGTCTTCCAGCCTCCTGTAAGGACTCGGTCTAAATCCTGACCTGCACAGACTAACTGTAATAACAGCAATAAAAATGACAATTTTTTTCCTGGTAAATCACAACACCGGCTGGAGGTTACGGCCACCGGGAGCTCGGCCCCGCACAGTGCCCATCACTGCTGTTGAAGCTGGAAGCTGCTCGGGCCTCACAGGCCACCGAGCCTGCTACAGCAGCCGCGTCCCGTCAGGCCGCAGCCCACGCTCAGGCGCCGACGTAGGCCGCGCGGGGTCAAGCGCCGCGGGCCGGCTACTCACCGCGACACCCGCAGGCCGGGATGGCGGCGCTCCGGGGCACGGGCTGTGGCATCTTCGCTCCCGCCACAGCCCGGACCGAGCCGCACGAGCCGCGGGGCGCGACGCGGCCCACGACACGCAGCCTTGCGGAGCCGCGCTCCACCGCTCGCGTCACGGCACGCACGCCCCGCCTCCAGAGATGACGTCACCGCCCGCGGCCTGGCGTCACGAGGCCCGGGCTCCTCCCCGCCCAGCGTTGGAACTCTGTCCCCACAGGGTCTTAGTGAAGTTCACTCCAGAGAGACGCATAGATGAGGGAAGGACGACTTTTTCCATGGGAAGAATGTGAGGGACTTTAGCAGATCTAACAGAATGGTAAGGTTTTGGTAGTTGGTCCAGTAATGCTGCATTACATTGATGGATATCTAAATTAATCCTGTCATCTCAGCCTGCTATTCAGCCAAGACTTTTTAAAAAAAAAAAAAAAATTTTTTTAAAAACTGTGATATCTGGTAGAACAACAGGACATATGTAAGCAGAAAATTCTGCATCCCTTATTTCTAAGAAAACAGCATCTCCTGAACCAACAAATTGTTCTAGCTAGCATTAACCCAGGGTACTTCCCTCCTTCATTAATTGACTATGGTGACTTGCAATATCCTACATGGGCTTATATGTGGAGCTTGGTCCCCGCTGATGGTGCAATTGCCAAAGATTCTGGAGACTTTTAGGAGGTGGAGTCAATCTAGAGGAAAGAGGGTCGGGGGATGTCTCTTTGAGGGTCTTACCTGGTCCAATGGTCCAGGTCTCCTTCTGAACTTCCTGCCCATCATGAAGTAAATAACCTATCCCGTGTAGTGCTGTCATTCTGATGTTCTGCCCACATGCAATGGCCAAGAAACCACCATGAGCCAAAATAAATCTTTTCCCTTTATCTAGACAGTGCCACAAAATTAACCCATACGTGGTCCTGCCAAATACCTTACTAGTATTGTTAGGCTGTAGGATGCTATGTGAGGTTACCTAGGTCTCCCCACAGGGCTGAGGTCCTGATGACCCTTACCTGTGCCCTTCCACGGCCATTGCTCTCAAACAGTTACTGCTCAATGCCAAAGAGAGTATCTTTCATAGTTTCCATTCTTGTCCACACAGCAATTCATCTTAACTGGAACTAGCAGTTATTGAGGGGATGGCCCTCTCTTGCAAGGACAATAGTACAGAGTGCATTTGTACACCACCACCATGTGCCTGTTATTTTTCTTGTATGTGTGACAATGTTCCTGACAAAAACTACTTAAGGGTTTATTGTGGTCACAGTTTGAGGGTACAGCCGCCACTGTGGTGGGTAAGCCATGGCAAGCAGAAGTCTGAGGCAGCTTGTGACAGTTCGTCCTCAGGAGGCTGAGAGAGTCTGGTACTTATCTTACACCCAGCTTTTTTTATTATTTTTTTTATTTTATTTGATCCCTGCTCCGTGTGTTATGGCTACCCACTTTCCAGGTAGGTTTCCCCTACTCAGCTAAACCTCTCAGGAAAACACAGAGACATGGCCAGAGTGGGGCAGTGGTGGCACACACCTTTTATCCCAGCACTGAGAAGGACAGCAGACACAAGTGGATATCTGAGTTTGGGGCCAGCCTGCTCTACAGAGCTTGTTCCAGGACAGCCAAGGCTACACAGATTAACCTTATCTCAAAAACAAACAAACAAACAAACAAACAAACAAAAAAGCACTGTTAGTATTCTGTCTAAACTCCACCTCCACAGTTATCTGGCTACACCTAGGTATGCTCCTCCCCACAGTTACCTGGCAACAGCCAGGTAGGCGTGCCCACTATAAAAGGGGCTGCTTGCCTCCTCCTCTCTCTCTCACTCTCTTACTCTCTTGCCTCTAGCTTCTCCTCGCCCTTCCTCCCTTCCCTTCCCCCTCTCTCCATGTGGTCATGGCCAGCTTCCACTTCTCTCCTCTCTCTCTCTCCTCTTTCTCCACCATCTTCTCCTGTTTCTCTCCCTACCTTTGCCCTCTGCCCTGAATAAACCCTCTCCCCTTTGGAACTGTTTGCTCTGGTGTTGTCTGTTCCAAGCTGCGCGCCGAAGATAACACCCACCAGAAAACAAGACAAAACAAAACAAAAAAGTCATGCCCAGAACAGGAATGTTTCCTAGATGATTCCAAATCCTGTCAAAGTGGTAATGAAGAGTAACCATTTCACCTAGTATCCTCAAATGGGTGAAGCTTACAAACTACAGGACAGCAGTGAGCATTCTGGATGCTCAGTTCTGATAGCACCCCTCTGAAGCGTCATTGCAGTGATGGAGGAACGGGTAGATTGCGTTTGCTATACTTGGCTGTCCTGTCAGGTGCCTCCTCCTTTTTTGTCCTTTCAGTGTGCTTCTTCCAGAATTTTCTTTGTAGATTTTGTGAATTACTCTTCTTTGACCTTCTTAAACTCACCTTCACTAGGGTGAACCCTACAGCATTCTCCGAACCCCAAAGAAGTTCTCTAGGCGTTGAGGAGTCTGCATGGCAGGCAGGGGGCTAGCTGCTTCTATCCCAGTCCCTGCACAGCTGACAGCTGGTTAGAGAAAAACAGGACATAACTGAAGAAGAACTGGGAAAGCTGTGGGTCACAGGCCAGAGGACAGAAGGCACAGATATGAAAATAGAAGCAAAAAAGAGCGGCTTGGGATAGAAAGGCCAATGGGAGCACGCGTGGGGAACCTGCCTGAAACACATGGGACCTGAGAAACCCACCCAAGGTGATATGAACATCAGATACTTAGGAACCCAGCCAAGCCAGGAGGTAGCCTGGCTGCAAGAAAGGAGCTTGATCCAACTCAGCCACTGTACACCAATCATGGCTCTCTGTGAACACTTTCGTGAGGCGACTGTGTCAGCCCATCAGGCTGGTGGAAGCTCTGCGAGCAGAGGGCAGGTTCCCATGGACCATCACAGCCGAGTGAATTGGTCAACTAATCACAACCGATACACTTTATCCGAGTCAGTCATACACCAGCATCTGAACGGCGAGACAGCTTACTTCTCTACTGCTGAGGTCCTTGTGCCCAGAACTCCGGTAGTAGATGAGCAACAAAGGAAGAATTGTCACCAGAAGCGGAGAAAGGCACTCCCGAGAAACCGACCACTCTGACTGTATTTTTCATTGCATTATACATGATTGCATTATGTTCCAAATTGGTCCTGTGGTGCCATATGTTGAAGAATTAGGGGGCATTTTCACCCTTTGCTAACAAAAATGATTTCATGTCTTTCCTCTGTGTGTGAAATGGCTCCAACTCTGGAAAGATATTATCCAAATACCACTGGAATGACTTGCAACCCAGGCGTTTCCTTAATTCAACACGCTCACTAATATTTCCACAGGATACGTATAACAAAGAAGGTCTTTGAAGAAAAAAGTTTTCCTAAATGAAAACAAAGAGTCATTTTACTAAACAAAATAAATCTTTGGTGACCAAGGTCGTGATAGCAAACATCCGGAGATATTTCCATTATTGGAATAAAATTGCCCTTTCCCCTTGTGGTATAGCAATTTTCTGTGAGATTAAAACCTTCGATCTTCTAGGATAGCTTGGTAAGACATAGGATATTAAAAAGGAGTTGATATATTCTAAGACAAGTTAACTAAAACCCAAGTGGCTGCGTTTACCTGTGAGGTACTTTTTAAAATACATTATTTTAAGTAGGGGGCCCAATTTTAATCCAGGTCTTTTGAGGTGGGAAGATCCACCTTTAATTTGAGCTATACCTTCTGCTGGCAGCCTGCATAAAGAATACAAAAGAAGGAAGCTTGAAACATTCTCTCTTTGCCTGATCTCTCTCTGTCTCTCTCTGTGTCTCTCTCTCTCTCTGTCTCTCTGTCTCTCTCTCTCCCTCTCTCTCTGTCTCTTTCCCTCTGTCTCTCTCTCTCTCTGTCTCTCTCTCTCTGTCTCTCTCTCTCTCTCTCTGGCAAGAACATTCCTTCATTGCCATTAGAACCTATTTCTTCAGGATCCCAGCACATTCTGAATACCAGCTGAGACGCCCAGCTTCATGGACTGAACAACTAGTAGATTCTTGGATCTTCCATTGGTAGACAGCCATTGTTGGACTATCTGGACCACAGCCTGTAAGCTACTCTGTCAGATAGATAGATAGATAGATAGATAGATAGATAGATAGATAGACAGACATTGATACATAGAGACTTTGTTTGTTACATAGAGGGTTTACAGTGCTGTATAGAACTAGAGCTCCTAAATATATTGCATGTGTCCATAATATTCCTTTTTCTTGTTTTTAAACTTTTTTTTTTTTAAGGCAAAGTTCTTATTCTGTAGCTTTGGCTGGCCTTGAACTCACACAGACCTGCCTCTGACATTTGTTTTATGTGTATGTGTCTTTGTAGAGGTATATAACCTGAGTGCAGGTGCCTGCAGAAACCAGAAGTGGGGTTCGATCTCCTGAGGCTGGACTTAAAAATAGCTGTGAACTACTTGGGTGTGAATGTTGGGAACTGAACTCAGGTTGTCTATTAGAGCAGTATACGCTCTTAACCTCTGACCCATCTCATTCTCCTTGGCTTTTGAGACAAGGGTCTTACTGCATTGCCTTGGCTAGCTTGAATTTGTGCAATCCTTCTGCCTCAGCAGGAATTCTCTGAAAGCTCCATGATTATAAAATAAATCTCATTTTTACTCTCATAATTTAAAAAATTGGGATTATAGCAACTGCTGATTCGTTTTTGTCACCTTGACACAAACTAGAGCCACCGGGGAAGAGGGACTCCAGACAGGAATTGCCTCCATCAGATTGGCATGTGGAGTATTTTCTTGACTGCTAACTGTTATAGGATGGTCCAGCCCACTGTGGTGGTACCATCCCTGGGCATATGGTACTGAGTTGTATAGGAAAACATGTTTAAGAGGCCATGGAGAGCAAGATAGTAAGCAGTTTCCCTCTGTAGTCTCTGCTCGAGTTCCTGCTTTGGCATCTCTGGATGTGAAGTATAAGCAAAATAACTTTCTTCATCTGAGTTGCATTTGGTCAGTGTCTTATCGCAGCAACGGGAAAGCAAACCCGGACAGAAACGTAAGATAAGCTGGGTGGTGGTGGCGCATGCCTTTAATCCCAGCACTTGGGAGGCAGAGGCAGGTGGATTTCTGAATTCGAGGTCAGCCTGGTCTACAGAGTGAGCTCCAGGACAGCCAGGACTACACAGAGAAACCCTGTCTCGAAAAACCAAAAAAGAAAGAAAGAAAGAAAGAAAGAAAGAAAGAAAGAAAGAAAGAAAGAAAGAAAGAGACCAAGACACACTGTCAGAGACCCACTGTGCGTCTGTGTATAAGGAGGTCCATCCTTATTTCTTTAAGTATGGCACAGAGATGCACTCTTGGAGAGTGCAGCAAGGGCTTCACCACTGAGACAGACATAATCAAGGGCACAGCTTGCAGAGAAATCTTTGACTGTTGGTAGAAAAGGAGTTCACACGTGGGCACAAGACCTGTGCCAGCCGCTTCCCGGGACACTGATCGTGGCTTGACAGGAAACCCTACAGTAATCAGCTCCTGAGGCTGCAGCAGGAGGGGATGCTTTCTTTGACAGTGGTGGAGAAGAAGAACTCTGCAGTGCGTAAATAGATCTAGTTGTGGGGGAAAGTCTCTGCAGACTGATTTACTTCCGAGAAACTTGAATTTTACTAAAACTAAAGCTTAAAAAAATTAATTACAAAGACAACTGGTTAAGATTAAGCAGTTGAGATCGGGCCCAGTGGTGAGTGGGTGAGAGACCAAAGGCTCCACACACGAGTGCAGTTTGTATGTGAAAGGTAGAAGAGTCTTGAGAACAGCCCAGAACCTGCTCTCCCCAATCAGAGGCATACTCACCTTGTATTCATCCAGCCAGACATGAGCCACTCGTAGTAAGTTCCTTGACAAGGCACTCTGGTTTATAACCCTGTTTAGACTTGGTGCCTTACTGATATGTCCAACCCGAGAGCAAGGGAGTATGAAGAGCTGGCCTCCACACATCCAGATCTAGACAAGACCGCAACTGATTAGTTTATTAGTAACTGGCAGCTGCTTGAGAACACATGAACACACCACACACACACACATACACTCACACACACACACACACACACAGAGAGAGAGAGAGAGAGAGAGAGAGAGAGAGAGAGAGAGAGAGAGCGCTAATATTTGGTTGGATGGTTGTTTATCAAAATAGGTAGCCCATATTAACCCCCAAGGCACTCTCTGGGAATGATGCTGACAGGCTGGGGTTCAATACAGGGCTTTGTTCACACTAGGCACTCACACTACCCTTTGTTCATGCTAGGGATTCACACTACCCTTTGTTCACACTAGGCACTCACACCACCCTTTGTTCACACTAGGCAGGCACTCACACTACCCTTTGTTCACACTAGGCACTCACACTACCCTTTGTTCACACTAGGCATGCATACCACCAGTCCCGCCTCTAATGCTTATTCCATTTATTTTGTTTCATGTAATAAATTTAATACATTCACCAAAGTCTTATACTGTAGGTGCTGTAATCGTAGACTCCCCATTTACAAAGAAGAAAGTTAGCATACAGATTTATTAAGAAGTTAGCCCGGTGAGGTGGAATAATTGAGTGGCAGAGCTCAGGATCAAATTGAGGAAGTCTAGCCTAAGAACTTCAGTTCTGAGTAGCCAGTGGATTCTCTTTCTTACCTTCTGCATGTTTCTAGGTGTGAGCAATACCATGCCAAGTTCTGGCTAGACTCAGTTACTTGTAGTTTATAGATAAACACTTCACAGCACATATTATAATAGCCTCATTCACTACGTAAAGGCAAGAGACGGTCATTGAAAATGGTTAAATATAGGAAAATGTACACCCTAAGACTTGAGGTTTGTCAATTAATTTAAGTATAAGTGTGGATACACAAACACACATTAATAGAACTTACTGTCTTTATGTGAGTTATGCAAATTGGAAAACATAGTTTGATGGCTTAAAAGGATTCCCACAAGAATAAGGATCTGAGTTGGATTCCTGGTATCCATGCAAAAATCTGGGCATGGCTGCACCCTCCTGCAATCCCAGTCTGGAGGGACTGGGGATAGAAACAGAATGCTCACTGGAGTTGACTGGATGCCCCATGGCAGAAACATAGCAAACTTGAATCACTAAGAGATCTTGTCTCAAGGGAATAGAGGTAGGTAAATGAAGGACAGAGGGGGAGTCCTGAATTCTGCATGTACAGCATGTACCTGCACACATGGAGGACTCCAGACACCTGCAGGCATAGCATGTAACTGCACACAAATGTGTATATGCATGCATGCACACGCACATTTGTGCACACAAAAAAGTAAAAGTCTTATTTAAAAATTCTAGCTGGGTGGTGGTGGCACACGCCTTTAATCCCAGCACTTGGGAGGCAGAGGCAGGCGGATTTCTGAGTTCGAGGCCAGCCTGGTCTACAGAGTGAGTTCCAGGACAGCCAGGACTACACAGAGAAGCCCTGTCTCGAAAAACCAAATAAATAAATAAATAAATATTGTAGAAGTGTCTATTTTGTTGTTATAAGAGATAACACAGAGCAGAGGTGAATAGTGGTGAGCAGAGGTGAATAGAGGTGAGCAGAGGTGAGTAGAGGTGAGCAGTGGTGAGCAGAGGTGAATAGAGGTGAGCAGAGGTGAGTAGAGGTGAGCAGTGGTGAGCAGAGGTGAATAGAGGTGAGCAGAGGTGAGTGGAGGTGAGCAGAGGTGAGCAGAGGTGAGCGGAGGTGAGCGGAGGTGAGCAGTGGTGAGCAGAGGTGAATAGAGGTGAGCAGAGGTGAGCAGAGGTGAGCAGAGGTGAGCAGTGGTGAGCAGAGGTGAGTAGAGGTGAGCAGTGGTGAGCAGAGGTGAGCAGTGGTGAGCAGAGGTGAGCAGTGGTGAGCAGAGGTGAGCAGAGGTGAGCAGTGGTGAGCAGTGGTGAGCAGAGGTGAGCAGTGGTGAGCAGAGGTGAGCAGTGGTGAGCAGAGGTGAGCAGTGGTGAGTAGAGGTGAGTAGAGGTGAGCAGAGGTGCCTGCCACCAAGCCCCATCACCTGAGGCCCCCCAGAGAAGAGAGAGCACTGACCATACACATGCTGTGGCAGTGCATGCTCCCCTCCACACACACACTTATCTCCGTTCATCTTCAAGAACATTTTGCATCCGTTTCTGTGGGGTGCCTCCACGCCACAGTTTGCATGCTGTGGTCCGAGGACAACTCTGAAGGACTCGGTTCTGTCTGCCGCGTGGATCTCAGGGATCTACCTGAGGTCATCAGGCTTGGTGGCAAAGGCCTTCACCCACTGAGCCGTTTCACCAGCCCCTCATAGTAAGAATGTGGTTCTAACATAAATCTTGTGGATATGATTTGTCTGTGCATGGTATGTTTGCTGTAGCCATTCTGTTTCCTGGTGTTTCAGTAACACCAACATTGCCTGGAAACTTGGTAGAAATGTAAACCTGTGGGCCACAGGCACTGCTGATACAGAACCGGTGGGTTGGGCCAGCCTTCTGCATTTTCACAGGCTCTTTGTGTGAGTCTAATGCACAGAGTTAATGACCCTCTGTTCTAACTCATCCAGGCCATAAACTCTGATTCTGCAGATACTTTTCTAAGGAAATTCACTTGAACGTTCAAAAACGATAATCATATGTTAAGATCTTCACTGAAACATACTGTGTGGGGTTGGGAATGCGTCTCAATTGGTATAGTGTTTATGAAGCGTGCTCAAAGTTCTGGGTTCAACCCTCAGTACTACATGTGGCCTCAGCTCCACAACTGTAATTACAGCACCCAGGAGGTGGAAGTAGGAGGATCAGAAGTTCAAGGACATCCTTGACTAACATTTAAGGCAAGCCTGGGCTTCATGAAACCCTTGACTTTGAAAAAAATAGATGAAGTAGGGGCAGAAATCCACAGATATCTAAAAAATATCCTTCCGATTCCTTGTCTAGAAGACACAGAAGAAAAGGCCTTAGGCCACAAGTCTAAACAATTAGGTTCCTTCATCGATCTATCCAGTGGTTCTGTTGCCTGTCTCTTGTCTAGATCTCATTTTCTTTGGAAATTGTGAGCTAAACAGTTGATATAGACAGATATCTGTCCTGGTTGCTTCATCATGCAACAAAAGTTGACAAAAGTCAGTCTCTTTTTAAAAGAAAACTAAGGATGTTTGAAAAGCTGTTACATTGTTAATGTGCTTAACATTAACATTAATTATCATTATCAATTTTCCCATCGGATGTACTGGGCATTTTTTTTTCATTTGTGTTTGTGTCTGCAAAGGCCGGAAAAAGCCATTGGATCCCCTGGAACTGGAATTACACTGAGTAGTGAGCTGTCAAATGGGTGCTGGGAACTGAATCCTAATCTTTTGGAAGAGCAGCCAGTGATTTTAACTGCTAAGCCATCTCTCCAGCCCCTTTTCTATCTTTTTGTTTGTTTGAGACATTCATTGGTTTCAAGAGACTATGGCTATATGAACAGAACAGTAAACAGAAGTCAACTTATAAAAAAAAATCGGGAACAAAACTAAAAATTTCCTTCAAAAAGTTTGTCAAGAGACAAATTGAAGAAAGCAGTAGATTTAAGCCCAGTCACCATAGGACCAGCTGCCTCAGATAACTGGCCTCAGACTCACTATGTAGGTAAGAATGAACTTGAACCTCTGATCTTCCTGCTGGAGGTTCAGGGATTATAAGGTATATTCCACCGTGCCTTGGGTTGCGGGTTGGGGGTTGAATCAAAGATTTTGTGCATGCTAGGCAAACATTCTAGCAACTGAACCACATCAATAGGCTGGTCACAGATCCCCATGTGGCTTGTGTTGTTCAGTGTGAAAACAAGTTCCACGTGGCAGCTGCTCTTGGAAACTCCAGACCTCAGCTAAGCCCAGAAGCTAAAGCCCACCCAGTCAACCTCTGCTGAGTCACCAGGAGGGCATATGCAAAGTGTTACATTTTATACCATTCCTCTCTGAGATACTTTGTTACATAGCTTAACTGATACTGAGATGATAGCAGACTAATTCTTTTTTTTTTCTTTTTTTTTTTTAGTTTTGGTTTTTCGAGACAGGGTTTCTCTGTGTATCCCTGGCTGTCCTAGAACTCACTCTGTAGACCAGGCTGGCCTCGAACTCAGAAATCCACCTGCCTCTGCCTCCCAAGTACTGGGATTAAAGGCGTATGCCACCACTGCCATCTAATTCTTTTTTTTTTTTTTTTTTTAAATTTGTATATTTATTTTATGTATGTGAATACACAGTTGTTCTCTTCAGACACACCAGAAGAGAGCATCAGATCCCATTACAGATGGTTGTGAGCCACCATGTGGTTGCTGGGAATTGAACTCAGGACTTCTGGAAGAACAGCCAGTGCTCTTAACCTCTGAGCCATCTCTCCAGCCCATCTAATTCTTAATATCCTTAGCAATTAAAATTCTGAGCAGGCGAACCAAAAAGCGTAACCCATTGACTCAGTGGATAGATGGTCCACATAGAGGAAAGGGATGGAAATCTGCTTACACCTCCATCATGTCAATGCATGAGAACTCTGTAGTAGAGAAATGGTTGTTTTCATAGCAGAGAATCCAACAGGCTTAGTGATGCTGACCAGGATTCCAGCTGGCATCTTATATCTAAAGAAGTAGTCTTAAACCGGGTGGTGACACCACACACCTTTAGTCCCAACATATGGGAAGCAGGTGGATCTCTGAGTTCGAGGCCAGCCTGGTTTACAAAACAAGTTCCAAGATAGTCAGGGCTATACAAAGAAACCCTGTCTCAAAAAAAAAAAAAAAAAAAAAAAAGAGGTTCAGTCTTAGAGGTGAGGTTGAGAAACAGAATTCCTTAAGTGGTCATTCTTAAGAGCAGAAGTCAAGGTCTCTCAGTGTTTGGAGTAGCACACCTTGGCAGTATGGAGGGATGCCAGGATGGGTATTAGAAAATGAGTAAGCTAAAACTCCCTCAGGCGGTCAAGGTCCATTGGATGCCAACCAGGATTGCGAAGCCACAAAACTCTGAAGCTGGTTATGGGAGCCATCTAAGGGCTGGGTGTGAAGTACAGCTGCGTGGGGATCTGTGAACCAGTCCTCTCCCTGGTCTGTGGCAGCCACAGAACTCAGCAACCAAAGCAAAAGATGAGCACTGGGGCTTCTCCCACACATGTCCGCTAGAACTGACAACAGTAGAGATATGTTACCAAGTGCCTCAAGACTGGAAACTGAGTCTGTGTGAGCCGGGAAGCAATGGCTTTGGAGCATAGAACTCAGTGCTTTTGTGAACTTGGGAAGCAGTGTAAGTTCTCTGTGTCTTTGTTTTCTCATTAAAAGTAAGAGATAATGGCAGTGTAAGGATTGAGTTAATATCTGTAAAATGCTCCCGAAATGTGAGTTAGATGTAAGAGCCCACCCAACAAACCACACAAATGTAATCCTTTAAATCCCGATATGGGCCGGGCGTTGGTGGCGCACGCCTTTAATCCCAGCACTTGGCCAGCCTGGTCTACAGAGTGAGTTCCAGGACAGCCAGGGCTATACAGAGAAACCCTGTCTCGAAAAAAAACAAAAAACAAAAATAATAAAATAAAATAAATCCCGATATGGATGTAAAACTACTTCAGGAGCCATCCCGACAAAAAGATGGCTCGGTTCCCTTCTAATATGACCACAGAGTACTCTGTCTCTCCACTGTGTTTATCAAAGGAAAATTAAATAACTGTACCCAAACAGAAGAACGGAGAGCCATGAGATCAGAAGTTACTTTTACCATGTGAACTGCTGTATTCTAACGCTGTTCTGTGTCCTTATGATTTAGTTGTGAACTTGGCAGGATCTAAAATCTCATAGGTGTGTCTGTGGGGAGTGTCTAGATTGGATTCATTGAGGTAGGAAGACCCTTACTACCAGAGGACAGTACCATTCCATGGACTGGTGCCCTGGACAGCACAGAAAACAGTGTGCTGAGCAATAGTTCATCTGTCTCTGCTCTCTGAGGATGGATGCAGAGTGACCAGCCTGGACAAGTTCTTCCCCACCATGATAGACATATGTGTTCACACCGTGAGCCCAGATAACCCCACGAAGCCAGTCCATCAGGTGTCTTGTCCTAGGATGGGAGACACTGCTTTAGGGAAGGAAGGGCAGGGCCGTGATTTCTTCTCAATGCTTGGCCTGCGGCACTGCTTGTCTGGGAAGGTAAACTCTACTGTTGGCCAAACAGAACTTAAACAGATCCTCAAGAGATAGTCCCCAGGTGACTGTGGGCTTCAGTAGAACCGTCCGCTGGTAGAATCTTCTGCTGAGTCAGCTACCAGCCATCTGTAGGCATGATCTTTTAGTTCATTATTGCTGCTGTTATTTCTTTGTGTTGTTGTTGTTTTGTTTGTCTGGGGTTTTTGTTTTGGTTTGATGTTTCGTTTTTTCAGTTTTTAAAACACAGGATTCCAGGTTTCTCTGTGTATCCCTTGCGATCCGGGAACTCATTCTGTAGAGCAGGCTGGCCTTGAAATCAGAGATCCACCTGCCTTTATCTTCCCAGGGCTGGGTTTTAAAGCATGCACCACCATGCCAATTTAAAGTTTTATTTTGTTGTCAGTGGCCAGTGTCAAGAGAGTATTTAAACTAGTTACTAATTCATATATTTGTTTATTCAAAGTCAGGCCCAGGCATACTACAAAGATTGAAAGCAGCCATTAGGAATGGAGTCATTGGGAATATGGGACTAGGGATAATTGATACATTTGAACAGGAAGTTAGTTAGCTGTCACTTGCTGTCTGTGAGGAATGTATGGCCAGAATGGGACACGGTTGCTTTTCATTACATTTTATGTTTTATTTAGGGGTTGGGAGGATACATACGTACATGCCTGTTCATGTGTGTGTCCACATGTACATATGGTGGGTGGCCCAGCTCACATGCAGAGTTCAGAAGACAACTATTGGAAATTGGGTTTTTCTTTTCACCACAGGGTTCCCTGGGATTGAACCTAGAGGCCTGGGCGTTATAAAATACTATTCTAAGTCAGAAGGGAATGAGTGAAATGGGCAGCAAATAAGGAAACTAACAAATGTGTTAGAGGATTCTGTAGGCCTGTGCACCGAGGTTATCTGAGGACTTCTCTGGCACAGCCAGGTGGGAGGGTTCAAGAGAAGGAGAAAGGGCGACAGCAGGGAGGGGAAATCACCTCCACTGACACTGCTCAGAGAGGCCACCTGAGCTGAGCTGGGCTAAGCCGGCAGAAGGCTGGCTAGCCAGCGAGGGGAGTGCAAGGGAGCTTATGGTGGTGAAAGTTTCAGGAGAGCATTCTCTTCCTTGGCAATGTTACAGCTCTTATGACAGACACTTTCAGGCGATGGGAGTAATTCTCACACACCTTTATTCCTTCTGGATACAGTTTTGGGGTGGGTTGGGGTCTGACAGTAAGTGTTTCCTATCTGCTTGGTCTGAGATGTTAGGGATGCCTCATCTACATGTGGAAGGACTTGGGGCGTTGCCTCTAAGTGACTGATGGCCACAAATCTCTCCAGGGGTGGGGGGTGCGGCTACGTGACAGGGGCCTGGTGCTAAGAGCAGGCGAAGCTCCTACCGTCCCTTCAGGGTCTCCGGGGCTTCTAGCCTTAGCTCAACCTTACCAGGCTTCCTCTCATGGTCCACTGCCCCACAGGATTCCAAGTAGGAGCTGGCAGGAGAAGACATTGTTGAGATATTTGTGTATATACAGCAAGTCTATGAAATCTGGGTTGAAAAGGACAACAATGAATAAAATAGGGCTGGTGAAAGGGCTCAGTCACTAAAGCACTTGCCAAAAAGCACTGGGATCTGGGCTCCATCCATAGAAGACACTTAAAGAAGAACCTGGGTGGTTTGGGAGGATTCCTAGGGCTCACTGGCCTTAGCTAACAAGCAAGTTCTAGCCTAATGAGTAACTCTCAAAAAACAAGGCAGCTGAAACCTAAGGAATGATGCCTGAGGTTGATCTCGGGTCTCTTCATGCACACAATGACTAAAATGTCCAGCTACCAGAAAGAAAGGAAACAGAAGGAAGAGAGGAAGGAAGGGGAAAGAGAAGAAGAAGAAGAAGAAGAAGAAGAAGAAGAAGAAGAAGAAGAAG